TTCATCTCGATCATTTTGTAGTCCCACTAGAAGTATCCCGACTTGATTCTTGATTTGACCTAAAGCCCACAACGAACGAGCGAGCCCGAATATTAAGATGTATGAGGATTCGACTGGGGTAAACCTTAAAGGGATGAGAACTCGACTTCTATAAATGGAAGGGTGAGCCAAACCCTAGAGGTATTAAAAAAAACACCCTACTCTCTACACTCTAACTTGATTATCCATTTACCCTCCTTGCTAACTTAGGCATCGGAGCCCGTGTGACTGGAGTAACACCGGTTTAGGTTTGACTGGTTTTGGAGGTTCTCTGATCCCCGATTATCAAGTTTGATGCGAACCTCGAAAAGATCCAGGAGAGTATAATTCACGCATCAACACATTACTTCATGATGCAATACCGTCTTAAACATGATTAAATCACCAATAAACCCAAAAGTTAAATAGAGAGGAAATAAAAATATAGGGTTTCTAACACAAATATGGTTAAATCACTAATGAACCCAAAAACGCTTAAGCTAATGAATTAGGGTAAATTTAATCATTTATAAGATATCTAACCATATGTAATAAATAATGGTGAAAACTGAGGTACACGTAAAGCTAGTTCAGACACTTGTAAAAAGAAAAAATTAATGGCGACAACACTTGCATCGTTAGATGCAAAGATTATTCTATTTTATTCCATTAATGATCGATCCTTGGTTTCTCACAGATCTTCATAAAAGAACTTCTTGAAATCATCCATATGCTTTGTCTGCAATCGTATCGCTATGATGACCGACCCATCATTGGTTGGCCCCGACATGATGTACGCCTTTCCATCACTGTTCACCATTGCCGGCCCAACGTAAGATGGTCGTCCCCACCCAAAATCTGCATCATACAACGGCATCGACATCCAACTCCCTAAAGCTAGATTCGGGTTGCCCCAAAATGAACCTTTGACCCGAACTATGGAGTGGTGCAATGTTCTTGCCCAGGTGATGTCCTCTTTCCTAGCCAGAAAGTCCATTGCCGACTTTGCGTATTCGTCGGTCATCTTCCACGTTCCTTCTCTTATTTTTCCAACAGCATAGCTTAGTGGTTGAGTCATCAGATCACCAAACTTGCATTGCGGTGTTATCGTGATCAGACATGAGTTTCCAGTGAAGTTTTCGGGGATGGGTGTCCTTAGTCGTCGACTTATATCGACGATGATACGGACCACTGTCGGCTGTCTACTCTCAGCATTGTTACGGGCCTTACATGCACACAACCACATGTATCCAGTGATAGACTCATATCGACTGTATGGTCGTGGCTGCAGTTCATGATCAAGCATTGCCATGTTTTGATTAGTTGTATTTGGATTTGGTTGGTTCGAATTTGCTCTCTTTTTCAACTTTTCAACTTGTTCCTTTGTAAGTTTTAGCAATGCACAAACAGATTCTTTCTTCTCCTCCTCCTATTATGAATATCAATAAAATATTTTATTAGTTTAAATATTATTAAATTAATATATTTTTCCATTTGAGCTAGGTTCAGTTTGGCTCACGGACAAAAAATATATATTTTATTATTTCTCAAGAAATATTTAAATAACATACCAGCAATAAGAATACTAAAATATATAATTTCACATTAATATTATAGGTAAATAAAAGAAATTATCCGGTCACCATTAACTAATTCAAAAGGTATTCGTTGGACACAACTGATTTTTTAAAACCCAGAGGGGAAACGTGGCTTTTCAGAACTAGAACAAATTAAAAGAAGTGTGTCCTATTAGCAAAAACTTTAGACTAAGAAGAGGCATTTTTCTCTTTTATATTTTACAAGATCCTAAATTCTAATACAAGTTTGACTCAATAATTTTATTTTAATTATATATTATTTATAATATTAAAGTAACATATTGCTATCAATACAATACTAATAAAATAAATTAAAATTTATTATTGATTTGAAAAATAATATTAATATTAATGTATTTCTAATTATTTAAAAATTAGGAAGAGATGTTCTAATAATTGTTATAGGTTGACTCATTTAGGTTACAGATAGTTTTAGAAATTAACATGATCAATAGATTTTCAACTTCTAACAATCAACATACCAGTTAAGATTTCCTATTTCAATTCCGGATAAGTAATTGTATGAGGTGAAAGAGATAACCTAGAGCGAAAAGTAAAGAATAATTTTGTTATTTAGAAAATCAAGATTGATAAGATTAAAATAAACCAAAAGCGAGTATAGCTCAACGGTAATTGTCATATATCTCCGACTAAGAGAGTGTGGGTTCGATCTCCTATTAAAAATAGATTAAAAAATAATTCATTCCGTACAATTAAAATTATATTTAAACAATAAAAAAGAAATTTGTAACTTTACAAAAATGATCATGTATATTGTAACCTATTTGCTAAAGCTTAATTACCTCGGCATTGGAGTATCCATGGAGAAGCGGTGGTTCATCATATTCACCATGGTGAAACCGCGGTGGAGGAACCGGCTTCTGCGGTTGCAAAAACTTCCTGTCATGAAACGGCTGCGGAATACTGTCCACCGTTTTCTCGCCGCGCGCCATGCTCGCCCACGAGTTGATGAACGTAATGGCGGAGGCCCCGTCGACGAGAGTGTGAGAAAAGGTGACGCCGACGACAAGCCCGCCGCAGCTGAATCTCGTCACCTGAACCAGCAGCATCGGTACCTCCTCGATGGGAGAATTATCGTAATCGACGTTGGGAGCGAGTCGTCGGAGAGCATCGGAGGGTGCGAAGTCGCCGTAGTCGTCGAGCTTGGCAGTGGAGGAAGCTTCCATGAGTGTGGCTCCGGCGGCGCAGCAGTCAAGCTCGAGGCGGCCGCCAGCGATCAAGCGGAGGCGGCCGGCGAGAGGGTAGTAAGGGACGAGGATTTGGCTGAGGGAGTTTTTTAAGGAACCGAGGACGGCAGCGGTGGCCGCGGCAGCCGGAGATTTGTAGATGTAGACGGTGGGGACGTGAGTCCATGCCCTGAACTGGTCGTTCTCCGATAAGGAAAGAGCGGCGGCGGGAGTAGGGTGGCTGGGAAAGACGGTGGTGGAAGAATTAATGGTTAAAGACGCCATTGATTCTGGTTTTCACGAGAGCTTGGATTGGGAGGATTATTCTTTTTTTTTTATCAAATTTTATGAATGGAGTTGATTTCATAAATCATTTCATTTATAGTTTTTCTTTCTTTAAATATTATAGTCTTCCTCTTGAAAATATTTAAGTGAGATTAAGGTTTCTTAGCTTAATTTTAAAAAATAGAAAACTAAAACTACTTAATCAACTTTCAATTTCATCAAATTAAAATTTTAAATTTTTTTTTCTTTTTTAAATGTTACCATGTTTATCGTAACAGAGTTTGATTTTCTCATGTACATTCAACAAATTATAAAATATATTTATGGGACTTTAAAGAAATAAAAGAAATACACACCACACTGGAGCCCGCGTGGGATATTAATGTAATTTTTCTGGACAGTTTCATCGATTGTATTAGCCAAAAATTTAATTTTATGCCAGCCTTGATTTTAGTGAAATTAAGTAAGTTTTGAGAAATTTTTCCTTGTTCTTTCTTAAAATTTCATGATGGTTGTTCGCGGTCGAATTCAGAATCGACGTCATGTCCCAACTCAGTTCGGAGTCTTCATAAGGGATAAAACGATCCCTCCGTACCTGTCGACCTGATCAATATCGAGGTGAGATTACCAAATCATACCAGCCGACTTGAAGAATTCCACCTTAGATCCGACCACCGACTTGGGACCCAACAATCATAACCGTCGGTCGGAATGATTCCAGTGGCTTTATCTCCCTCGTTTGTCTAAAAGGGGCACTCCACTCCATGTGTCAAGTATGCAATTCTGTCCGAGAACGACTTACTACCACTCAAGTTCACTCTAACTTGAACGTCGGAGTTTTTGTTCCCTATACAGGTCTTACTGTCGCTTGAGCTCGTACTTCAACAACTCACTCCGATTAGCTCATGACAGACTTGTAGCTCGACAAAAATCTGCATCAAACAATGTATATAGTAAAAGTTGAACACAATGTAAAAATATTTACAACAATTGTGTAGATTAAAAGCCTAAAATGAAAATTTATTAACTTTGCCCTGTTAATGTTAATTATATTAGGGTAAATTTTATTTTCTCTCTTCATAAAAAATGTGTAAGAGCAAATTTTGCCCACTCGCCAATAAGTATGAACTCCTATTTTTGGACTTATACAATTCTCGTCTTGGTCTCAAGTTTTACTAGTCGCTTATGGATAAGATGCTTTGAAATAGGATGTTTTTTTAGAGATAAGATAGCTACATGGATGGCTATTAGATTTCCATAAGAAAAAATGGCGATAATGATATTTATTTTATTAAAAAATCTTGTATAATTGGGATATATAATCAAATAATCTTAAAATCAAAATTATTTCTAAGAAATAAATATAAACTATTTTTTAATTTTATAATAATAAATTAATTCATTACAAATTATTAGTGAATAATTAATTGTGGTTATTAAAAATGAGCCCTATAATTAATCAAATGTATTTAAAATATTAAAGAATAAATAATAATTTAGAACAGATTTTTTAAAACAAAACTATGTTTTCAAAATCTGTTTTTTTTTTTAATTGAACAGACTAATAAATGGTCGGCAAGAATTTATATATTTTTTAAGTTATAATTAAAAGTAAAATAGCCATCTAAAGTCAAAACAGCGGTTTTTAGCTATAAAATTTTGACAAATGTTTCATAAATATTTTTCAAATTATATAGAAAGAATAAAAGTAAGTACTTATTGAACTTTCGTACAAATATATAAATTGTTCAAAGTTCTCATGCCTCACATCCACGAAAAAAAGAAAATACTTTTATCTTTTTTGTGGTGTTGTTTTTTTTTCCTTTTTTTTTTATTATAAAAAAGCATGTAAGTACGTATAAGTGTCATTTTGACTTAATATTAACACTAATTAAGTCACTAAATGCAAAATACAAAAAATAGAAACTCCGACTTCTTTTGGTAAAAACATAAACATCTTGCTTCTCTTTCTCGATTTTAAGAAATGTTTTAAAAATTTATATAACACTCTGGAAATAACCAATTAATTTATATAACACTTTGTAAATAACAAATTCATTTATATAACATTTTGTAAATAACAAATTTAAGTTTCTGGTCTCTTATTCGTTTCTAGTTTTTTTTTAAAAGCATAATCAAAATGTATAATAAATATTAACAAATAAATATAATATAAAATTGAATATTTAATTAAAAAATTTCATATAAAAATTTTATTTTTTAAAATTTTAGAGAAGGAGAAACAAGAAGGTAACAATATGTTTCTATTTCATTTTTTCAATATAAAGAAGAAATGACAAGAAATAATTATCATGTAATCCTATTCTTATTTATTAAAAAATAAAAAATAATAAACATAAATAGAAACCAGAAAAATAGAAAGAAAAATTACCAACCAGAAAATAGTCTACCTTTTGTATAAGGAATTTGGTGAACGCATTTTGTGTTTTATTCTGAAGTTTACCATTTGAATTTAAACTATATTTTATTTTTTAGTGCAAGACATTTTGGATGGAGCGGGATTAAATTTTCAACCTCAAAAAAGGTTAATTAGTGTTCTATCTCCTAAGCTATATTCAAGTCGACTTAAACTATATTTTATCTAACAGTAAGCAACATGTGTGATGCAGGTGAAATTTATCATTTTTATTAATATTAACTTAAAGAGCAAATTTGTTATTAAAAACAAATCCGTCTCTCAATTTCTCCTTTTATTTCTCTTTCTAAATACTATATCTCATTCTTTACAAATTTCTCTCTATCAATCTCCACCTTCCTAATTTTATCTATTTCTTTCCAAATACTATCTCTTCACCTTTACCAATTCCAAATAAATTTAAACAAATATGGTAACGTGAGTAAGGAATTTGGATGGATAGAGAGAAAAGGAGTCTAAGAGTAAATGAAAAAAAAAAGTAATGAAAGATAACACAGAGATAAAAATAAAATAGAAAAATAATAAACAAGAAATTGTTATCAAGCAATGCTTCCATTAACATAAAAACAAAACGTTACCAAAGGGACACCTAACTTACTTCCTATTAAATCTAGATTTTTCATTTTAGAGATGGATATGTTTTTTTTTTCTTTTTCGGAAATGATAGATGGATATGTTCAATCTAAATTAAGTTGAAATATCTTTTCTTAACACGCAGATTTAAAGAAAAAGAAAAAAAAACACTTTAATATCACATTGCCCATAAGAGCTTAATGAAAAAAACTTATGTCTTATTTACTTATCAGGAATCAGAACGGGAATGAATTGGAATAAAAATCAATCGAAATGAAAATGTTATTCATTTGATATTGTTTACCAGAAATTTTCTACAATCGAAATCAGAATTCCTTTGTATTGTTTACTAAAATTGTCTGGAATTGAATAGGTAGTCATTTTCTTCTTTCTAACTAATTATAAATACATTATTGTGTTAATCTTTTTTAATTACAATAATAATAAATTTTAATTTATTTTATTACGATGGATAGTAAATATTCTTTTTTTATTCTATCATTTAATACAAAAATATTGTTATAAAAAATCATTTAACATAAAATATTATTAAATTTTATTATTCTAATATTTAATAATAAAATCTTTTTAAAAAGATCTATTGATATTAATTAACAGTAACAAAGTAAAAAATTTTAAAATTGAATATAAATTTATAGTATTTAATAATAAAATCATATCAATCAGTATAAATTTTTATTATAAGAAAAAATATTAGTAGTAGAAATGAAAATGAAGTAATTTATAAATAATTAATTAGAAAAATTATCTCCTTAATAAAGACAGAGAAAGGGTAAAAATAAGGAAATAATTCTAATAAATGTATGGGCCCATGGAATAAGAAATGAGAATTAGATTGAGAAGAGTCTAGGAGAAGAATAAGATTACCCGTTTTAAATTTGAGGTGGGTCACAATTTGATTCTATTCCTACGACTTACTAAATACGTTCAATCCCATTCTTTGCTTCCCACCCTTCAACTAAACATGGGCTTAATTAATTTCAAAAGGGAATTGGAATTTAACCTGGCTGCCACAAATGGGGGATACTTTTCAAACCTAATATTATCTTTTTAAGACGTATAAAATTTGATAAATAGGCCAAATATCCTTTAAAAAGAAAAAAAAAAGGCTAAATATATGTTTTTCTTTTAAAATAGTAAATAGGTTTTAATTCTTAATATTTAGGTGTTTTTTAATTTAATTTTTTTTATTTTAATACTTTTCAATTATATATTTTTTGTCGAGACTAATTTATCTACCAACAATTATAAGTGGTGGAATGTATCAAAAGTTGAATAGAAGATAAAATTTTAATAATTATCTTAGTCTATGATTTAATTAAATGAACTTGAAAGTTTATGGTGAAAATTAATTATCCATGTGTAGAAAAATTAATTTTTCTATCTTAATTGAATGTGGGAAATCTATAAGAACAAAATTTGCCCACTTAGGTGAAAATTAATTATCTTAATTTTTCCATCCTAATTAAATGCGAGAAAGGTATAAGAACAAAATTTGCCCACCTAGCCATAAGTATGAGCTCCTCTTTGATAAATAAATGAATCTACTAAAAAATCTTTTTAGATAATTTACACTACATAGCATAAATTTAATAGCCTAAATTATCTTTAAAAAAATAGTCTTAAATTTAGAGATCAATTTCAAAAATACCTTTATCCATACTGGCTATGAAGGAGAATAATTCTTCCATTTTTACCTTCAATTTTTTAATATATACCTATTTTGTCCTTCAAACTCCTGCAATACATGAATATTTGGATCAATGTGGCTGTTGAGATAAGTTCATCCAAAGGAATTGTCACTGTTCGACAAAGTGATACATCCATTCGTGAATAGGTGTGATTATTGTAAAACCATTTTTAAAATAAAAGAAAAAGATATATTTTTTTTCTTTTGCCCAAAACTCATGTTCAAGACACTCTGTAAACCTTCCTTCAAGAGGGAGAATTGTATGGCCGGACAGAAACTAGTGGTGCAAGTGGTTTATAATGATGA